TTGACATGCATAGCAGTCACCTATCAAATTTTATGATACAAAAATTTGATAGGTAAACTCAGAATGCAGGATCTTACTTGACCAAGCTTAACATCTCCACTGCTTGGATTATATAGCACATGAATGTTCCTAACTGCGGGCCCCTCATTGACTGGGGTTCAAGCAATCAAAGCAGCCACTAATGTTTGCATCAAGGTGGACTATCTAGATCACACCCCTTGTGGACTCGATTGCCATTTTGTTTTTCTACAATGTTAATTCTATATTATGAAAGAAAAGAAAACATGGGAAATAACTAGTTTTGTTTTTCATTTACATGTACATTTTCTCCTAATGTGTACAAGAAAAAAATTGACAACTCCAACTCAATAAAACCTTATAAGATCATTTTAAACCTCTAATTAGTTACATTTATTGTTACTTTTTAACCTTGATTAGCTTAAATGAAGTTGTTGAGCTAATTACTTCCCTTTTTTGACATTATCTTTTTCACTTCCAGTGTTATTTTCTAGATTTCCTTTGAAGTAATATCGGCAAATGGCAATTGTATGCCCAGTACCATAAATTCATAGTGCATACATTACAACTCACATACATTAGACCTATAATTAAAGTATTCCATAAAAAATACATGTCTTTAATATATTCCATCCAAAATACACAAGATATGATTTAACACTTGATCCATCTCAATACTAATTCTTGGATTGGCAATGCCCGCTCTCTTAACCAATTCTTGGTTCTTATTTCTCCTATATTGGCTAAACGCCATTAAGATCAGTCCTAACTTTCAATCGCATCGTTAATATTTACTGTGAAGACTAGTACCTTATCATTACTTTACTTGAAGGTCTAACATCCTCTCTATCTTCACTAGGTAGAGATAAGGTTGCGTATGCACCATCCTCCCATATCCCACTTGTGGGATTACACCGGGTATGTAGTTGTTGTTGTTATAAACACTACAAGTCCAATTATTTGAAATGCACATCTGTCAGAAAGTAATTCCTTTTATTATTATTTTGGTAAATTATGTTAGATTGAATTAAAGTTATCATCTGTTTGGATATTTGAATTTGTTGCCTGAGGTTTCTGATCAAATATCTTTCAAAATTGTCCCAAACTGGAAGAGTACATTCTATATGGTTATTAGGAAATTCAAGTGAAAAGTCAACTTATCAAATCGTTCCGAGCAACTTAGTGATATAGTACTTATTTTGGGATTGTGCACGATCCTTGGGTGTGAGATACGAGCCTACACATTAATCAACTTAGGCACATCATGCATTGGATATCCTTGAATCATGATGTGCATTGTCTTTCAATGAAAAAAACTTATGATGCTCACAGAGCGTTTTCCAAGTAGAAAGGTATATTATTGGAAATAATCTAATTCACATCAGTTGCTCTCAGCATGAGAGTATATGTCCTGGCGATCTCATCTCTCATGAATCTGTGATCACAATAAGAGTCGTCATAGACCTATACATCTTAAGATCGGAATCAAGAGATGAGAGTTAGGTACTAACAATTACTCTCCCTTAATTCGTCTAGGACGTAAGCTAAGAAGGATAAAATTGCATGTTAACCTACAATAGAAGGAACTTTAGTTTCTTCATCACATCTTAGGTCATTGCAAGTCTTAATCAGTTCACTATAAGCAAATATGTCCAATGTAACAACCTATGTAGGCCTCACTATGCACAGATAAGTAGGTGCAATAATATGTTGATTAAAAGTGATAAATGGGGACTAGATACACCAAGAGAAAAATTATCTCCAGAAACCTACAAATCATGGAGTACGTGTGGACTTAGTTAAGGACACAACAGAAGAATTTAGGGATCCGCATGACGATGGCAAAGAAGATGCTCCTAGCTGAATAAGACCATGTGGAAAGAACTCACTGAAACTTGATTATTGCATTGTATCAATTTAAAGTATCTATGTTTTTTGGTATGCTTACAATTCTATCAGTTTTAACCATTTGTGCTCCTTGATATTCTTCACAATTGATGAACTTTAACAGAAAAGAGGCTATGGTGGTTTACTGGGTTCAATTCTATAAACTTAGATTCAAAAATAGGAACAGGCTATTCCTAATCGACACAGTGCTATTATGCAAGAGATAAGTTTAAAAATATATGATAGACCTTATGCTTCAGTTTCAAGTTCATTGGACATAATAAAGAACTTTTCTTGTGCTTCCGAGGGTGTGATCTAGTGGTCAATAAGAGTAGAACCATGATGTCTTAAGTTCAAATCCAAACGAGGCAAAAACACCAGTCATTTCTTCCCATTTTCCTACGCCTTGGTAGGCAGAATTACCTGTACTGGTGGGAGGCAGTAGGTGGCCGGTTAGTCGAGGTGCGTGTAAACTGACCCAGACATCACCATCAAATTTAATATATATAAATAAATCACCGTGGTTTTTCTGTCTGCCTTGTCTCACCTCCTCACTTATAAATGTTGTCTTAATCAAGCTTCCCTCTATTTGGCATTTCATATACCTTTAAGTTTGTTTCTTAACCAAGAAATCATCTTGGAGGTCTTAAAACTTGATAGATTTGCACTGAAATTTAACTCTACCAACAACCCATCAGAAGACAACTTCCCTTCATTCAACCATCTTTCAAACCACCATAATATCCTTTAAGATTCAAGGAAGTAACAAAGTAATTCCAAGATAGATGAAGGTCAAATTTCTCACAGATTCGACAAAAAAGTTACTTTTGAGTATACTTTGAGTTAACCATGAATTTTCATTAGTTTGCAGTATTCATCCATAAACTAACATCGCAGATGATCAATCTCTTGTGATGGAAAGGGTTCAGGTTAAGCAGAACTAAAGCCGAATACTTGGAGTGCAAGTTTGGTTATGCCGTTATGGAAGTGAGATAGACGTGGAAGTGCGGCTTGATACTTGGGACATCCCTAAGAGAGTAAGTTTCAAGTATATTGGGTCTTTAATCCAAGGAAATGGGGAGATCGACGATGACGTCACACACCGTATTAGTGCAAGGTGGATGAAGTGGAGGCTCGCTTCCGGAGCCTTGAGTGATAAAGAGGTACAGCCAAAACTTAAGGATAAGTTCACAAAGTGGTGGTTAGACCAACTCTGTTGTATGGGGAGGAGTTTTGGCCAATCAAGAACCCCCAATTCAAAAGATGCAAGTTGCAAAAATGAGGGTGTTGAGATAGATGTGGGCCATACTAGGAAAGATAAGATCAAATATGAGGATATTCAGGGCAAGGTGTGAGTGGCATCTGTGGTGGAAAAAATGAGGAAAGTGAGACTGAGATGATTTGGACATGTGAAAAGAAGATGTGTAGATGCCCTAGTAAGGAGGTGTGAGAGGTTGGATATAGTGGGTGTGAGGAGAGGCAGAGGTAGACTGAAGAAGTATTGGGGAGAGGAGATTAGACACAACATGGCACAACTTCAGCTTATCGAGGACATGACCTTAGATAGGATGGTATGGAGGTTACAGATTACGGTAGAAGGTTAGTAGGTAGTTGAAGCGGGTTTATGCTTGGTGGGAGCCTGGGAGCACTGTGTATGTCATAGTATTAGTCTTTTACATGCATTTTCCTTTTCGCTACCGTATTATTTAATTGTTGTTACTGTTTTTTTTCCTCTTAGAGCTTTGTTCTGCTTTCGCTAAGAATTGACATGTTTTCTTCACTGTCGTGTTCCCTTTTATGTAAATATTTTTATTTGTTGCACTTGAGCTGAGGGTCTTTCGGAAATAGCCTCTCTACTTCCACGAGGTAGGGGTAATGTATGTGTATTCTCTAGCCTCCCTAGACCCCATTTGCGGAATTACACCGGGTATGTTTGTTGTTGTTATCCACAAACTAACACTTGGAGACAAAGTACTAGCAGGTATGATAGATAGACTACTTTCTTGATAAATGCAGAACTTCCAAACATAAAATTTGTCATGACAAGATTCTGGAAAATATAGACAACCGTGCATTCTTAAAACAGAACAATATTTTGTGCTATAACATTGAATGATTGATTTACAAACTAGTAACACACTAAGAATGATGTATACATTCATATATCACCAAACTGATTAATCGAAAAACATAAATACTATTATCAGATATATCAGAGAAGGGCAATTAAACTAAACACATTATACTTGTAGTTCATTCACAATACAAAACTAGTCATACTTCAACCGCAGTTAACTATAACAACACATCACACTACAACAATAACAACAACTACCGTCAAGCCCAAACTTTTTGGGACTGCTATATGAATCCTCAAAATACACTCCGCCCCACTTGGAGTCATTTCATTCCGAAACTCAAATAATAATGTGTACTTTTACAAAAACGAAGGCCAGGGGAGGGGTGGTTTATAGGGCATTTGATGGTGCCCATGAACACATGGTCTCTCCACCAAATTAGATATTTTATGTACATATTTCCAAGAACTGATCTAATATCATCTGTTGGCACCTATGCTCCAAGAGGACTAAATGGTGCACTTGGTTGAATGCTAAGTTATTTACATAAAGGAGCAAAGTATTAATTCCCACTTATACTTCTTTTTTCTCCTTTTTTAGTGGTGCAATCATGTTATAAAACTCCTAAATTCTCCTCTGACTAAGGATTCTCTAAGATAAACAGACTAAACAAAGTATATTAACTACGCCTTAGTTCCAATTAACTTGGTGCCGGCTATAACAATCACATCACAAAACAATAATAACAACAACTAATATCAATCCCACACTGTTGTATCTGTTATATGAAATACTCAATATACATTCCACTCCACTTGGAAACATTTCATTCCGACATTCAAATAATAATATGTAATTTTAGACAAAATAAGGGTTATCTAAAATAAACAAATTACAACAACTACGCCTCAGTGCCAATCAAGTTGGTGTCTGCTATATGATCCACACTTCTACATTTAAGCTCATTTCACATCATAATCATCACCATTGTAACAAAAAGAACATAAATTCTCTTACCAGTGAACGGCAAGTAATCAATCAGCACGCTTGTAGGACGGGTGTTTCTTCGCAGACCTTGCATTCTCATACTCAAATCTCAGAACATTAGGAATATGAGAAGTGTCCTTAACATAAAAGAACCTCCCGAAAGCACTCTCTTCAATAGCAGGAAATAAACCACTGAGCACATTGTTAACAATCCAAAACCAACCCCAACCAAGCACAGTCCCCAAAGCAGCACCAGCAAACACCTGTGCAACCGTATGATAACCCAAATACACCCTCGAATACATCGTCAAAACCGCCAATGGCCAAACCAAAACAACCGCAACCAACAACTGATTTCTAAAAATTAGCCCCAATTTCTTATAAGTCAATAGAGTAAAATACACAGCAAAGAAAAACATGTATTGGGAATGACTAGAAGGCCATCCATGAGAATCACACATTTCAAGAAGTGCACAAGTTTCGGGTCGGGCTTGCTGAACTGATTTCTTGATAATTTCATTGATAAACTGAGAAATGATAAGCCCAATTGCAAAGAACATACCTTGAAGCTCTCTACGAAAAATGAAGTGAGAAATGAAACCACCAAGGCTTATAAATACAGGAACCAATGAAACCCACGCTAAGAAATGGCCTAATTGATCACCCTTTCGGTATCTAACATGGGTAAGTGTCACTGCCTTCAATGGATGATGAGACATTGAAAAAGATTGGTTTTTTAGTCAGATCTGTGATGTGGGGAAGAGTAAAAAACCACTGAGGGAACACCCTTTTGAAGATTGTTGAGAAATGAAGTGAAATCAAGAATGGGGAAAAGGGGGCAGATGTTGAGTTGTTGAAGGAGCCATAAATGTGGGAAAGACTACACAATGAAGGAAGGTGGAGATAGACAAGTGTTTGGAGATGATTGGTAGAACATATAAGAGTTCTAATTTTGACAAGTGTCTACATTTGTTTTTCTAAAATTTTGATTTTATTAATTCAATTAATTTAAATTTTCGTTGCGTAGAATTCATAAAAAAATAATATCAATCCGGAGCTTTTTTTTATTGCAATGTTTGAATCTGGAACCTCTAATCAAAGGTTAATCAAGTGAATGAGCTCACGTTATCTTTAGTTGATAAGTATATTATTAAGATAAAATTATTATACTACTTAATTACTCATCATAGCTATAGTTTGTTATAATTATCATTCGCGACTAACATTAACTATTAATTACGTGGGCTGACTTCGAGTTGTATAATCAACCACATTTGTATAATTCGCAACTAGCAATACTTCTTTTGATTTGTATTTGTATAAGATGATTTATATTTGTATATAACAATAATTTCCTTTGGTTTTTTAGTTTTGTCACCATATACATTCAATCTTTTTGTATATAACTTTTTAAAATTTGTATAAACGTGTAGTTTTCAGATTTTGTATAATATAAGTTATATAATTAATTTGTATAATATATTTTGTATAATTATTTAAAGTCATATGTTTATGTTTGTATCAATTTGTTATTTCAAGTTTTATCATATTTGTATAATTTCAGACTTTATATTACTCAATTATACAAAAACACGCGAATTATACAAATGAGATGTGAATTATACAAATTATTTCCCTCTTTCCTCCCTCTCCCAATCTCGCTCGCCTCTCTCAACCCTCCTCGAATCTGGCTCGCCTCTCTCCTCCCTCTCCCAATCCCGCTCGCCTCTCTCCTCCCTCTCCCAATCTCGCTTGCCATATATACAAATGCATATGTATAATATACAATTATCTAACCAAAATACATATACAATTCACCTCTCTCCCACTCTCTGCCCTCTCTCGCTCACCTCTCTCCCAATCTCGCTCGCCTCTCCCTCCCTCTCCCAATCTCGCTGGCCATATATACAAATACATATGTATAATATACAATTATCTAACTGATATACATATACAATTCACCTCTCTCCACTCTCTGCCCTCTCTCGCTCGCCTCTCTCCTCTCTCCCAATCTCGCTCGCCTCCCTCCCAATCTCGCTCGCCTCCCTCCTCCCTATAACATGTAGCTACGAATAGTAATTATCAAACTATAGTTATGGAGAGTAATTAGGCAATATTTGAGTGGCTATATCAAAAAGTTCCTTTATTATTAATATATGAAAAAAATGTTCTTTTAAATCTTTAAAATCGTGTGTTTTTATTTTTAATTGTTGATGAATTTTGGTGAGGTTAGGGATTCCACATGTACTGTGGACCATGTAAACATTTGTTTTTTATGCTCTTTTGTGATAAATATTGTTTTATTCCTTGTATGTTGCAATTAGGCTAATGTAAAAAAACTTTTTTTTTAAATTGAAATTTTAACTGTGATAATTAGAGTTACTAAATTGTCATACTTAGATAAAATATTACTGATTAAAATAGGTAAAAAATAGGTAAATGACATAGTATAAGAAAGAAATTACTTCCTTTTCTTACTTTTTCATTAATTACCAAAAATCCATTTTTTTAGTGTTTTTCGGATACATAATATAGCAGTGTGGATACTTAATATAACAGTGCAGATACTTTAATTAATAACGGGCGGATACTTAAATTATTAAGTTGTTAGCAGCACAGATACTTAACGGGCGGATACTATAATTAATAACGGGTGGATACTTAAATTATTAAGTTGTTAGCAGCATAAATACTTAATTAACGGGCGGATGCATAATATAGCAGCGCGGATACTTTAATTAATAACGGGTGGATACTTAAACTAATAAAGTATCCGGTTAAGTTGAATTGGGGGAAAATAAGGGATTTTTGTATCTTAGTAAAAGAGTAGGGAAATATTGAAAATAAGTAAAGAAGTGTTGTGTATTTAAGTAATTTTTCCTTAAAATAGTTCGCTACGAATGGTATAGTCAAATTGTTAAACGGTTATAACAAGGCATATAAATATGGTAATCATAGTCTTGATACTAATTAATCAATACAATGAGGCTCAAATACTTGGTAATGGGTTATTAGATGGGTTATGAATAATCACAGTCAAATTACTAATAATCATAAGTGACCCGATGTAAAAAAAAAAGAAAAAGTAAGAGTTAATTAGAACAATCTAAAAGTTAATTAAAAAAATGCATTTAATTATAAAAAACGTGATTTTTGCTTACATAACACTGGCAGTATTATACATGTTGAGTTACATAAATTGTTTTATTTTTAAATTATCTGTATTTTATTTGAAGTTTCGTTTTTATCTTTAGTGATAATAATGTTAAGTTTTCCTAATGACATATTGAGGAAACCTATATATATTAACATATGTCATGATTATACGTGATATCACTTCTTATTCTAATAGTCAATTTAGTGAGTTCATTTTTAGTTCTTTAATTTTTTTCCATTTTATCAAATAATTCACATATTCTTTAAGGATTAATCAAGATATTCATGCCCTATGCAACTCGATATTTTTTTCATAAAAACTTTACTTATCCTAAAATTGAGTTATAAACGTTCATTCTACATTATTATGTTCTCGCTATTAGTCAAATTAGAAGAATGACTAATTGAATTACTTAAATGTTGTTTTAAATAAAGCTTTATAATTTTAAAAAATAAAAATACATTGAGTGTGTTCTATGATAATGCAAGTTAAGATGAGTAAGATGACTTGCTCGATCAATTTGAGATATCATACCTTATACATTGCTCACGATTTAAATAAAAATCAGATTTATATATTAAAAAATGTTGTCTATTAATCCTATAAATACACATTAACTCTTTTCAAACCATGATAATATCACACCTTAAACCTTCCTTTTTCTATTTTTCATTTTTTTATATATATTCTCTTATCTTTTCCCTCATCCTCCATTAAAATAAATTAATTATATCTTAACCCTAAATAATTTGACATACTTAAAAAAATATATAAAACTTAAATTTTACATCGTATAACAAACATTTACATATAAGTATTGACGAACAAATTAAGTTTCAACTATTAATGCGCGTGTAAAACATCCAGACTAAACTTTTTATATCTTTATGAAAATTCGAGCTTATATGATTACGCATTTAGATAAAAATGTTAAGTATTTTTTATTAATTTATTTATGTATTTTTTTTATAAAAAAAAAGAATAAACAAAGCCGCTGGGGTTTTACAAGTAAACTGAATTCATCTTCTTAAACCCTGCAATTCCCACAACTTGTTTCTCAGCTGCCAAAATTAACTTGTAGCGTTGCCTCAAATTTCAGCTCCAATTTCTCTGCAATCGAAAACCCATCTCAGAGTTATGGAAAAAGATGCATCTTTCTTGTTTGGTGGCATCTCTTTCAACCGCAAAAAGTTTGCTCGCGATTTCGACAGATTTAAGGTATTTTGTTTTTGATTTTTTTTGCTTCGACCCTTTTTTAGTTTCAGAGTAAAATAGTGAACTTTATTGAGAAATATGGATTTTGGGAATTGTGGGGTTGGGTTTTTTTTTGGTTTGAATTTACATTGCAAAGATTCTTGAGTTTTTTTTGTGTGTAATTTGATGTGTAGGGGAAAAACATAGTTGATTCAGCTGAGAAATTGCAATTGATTGAGAAGGTATTACTGTTGAACTGTGTAAGTTTGATTCTACAAGCAGTAATAGGAAGGAACCCGAGTTCCTCCGAATCAGTGTGTTTATAGCATTTTAGCGTATTCATTGTTTCGATTTCAGATGTTTCTTGTTGTAAAAAACTCAATGATTTATTGTGTGTATGTCATTGATTTGGTTTTATATTTCACCTAGGAGGATAAAACTATTGATGATTCATTAGAGAAAGTGGAGTTCGTCGAGAATGAGATATCTGAAATGGAGGATGGGACAAGTACTAGCGTGAGTAAGAAGAGGAAGAGGAAGGAGAAGGGAGCAGTTCCTGGTAAAATTCCTTTGTCTGTCTATTTGAGCTTCTCGTTTATTTCTTTGTACGTAGTATAAAATAATTACTGAAGTTTGCTGTTTTGGCCCTTTGTTCTAATTCATGGCATTGGTTTTAGACTCAGTGGAGGGATTTTCCGTCTTCAAGAGTTCAAAATTGAAAAAGGAAGCTGCAAGCGAAGAGACTGATCAATCTGTAAATGAACTGCTTCAGGGAAAAAAAGAATATTATCAACAATTGGAGGTTTGTCTCATTTGCTATGAGTTGGTTGTAAGCCTTTTTGCTGCGTTCATGAATTGTTGATAAACTTTTATTGAAGAGATATTTCTTCTGTTCCTTTGATTTTGTGGATTTAGAGGGACGCAATTTTTCGGAAGATGCACAACATTCATGTTTCAGGGAGTAACATCCCTTCACCATTGCTCAATTTTGCTGAACTAAGATCAAGGTACTCTGTCATGCATTGTGTTGATTTTTGATCTGGAGACACATGATTCTCTACCTCCCTTTCTCTAATGGTCGCATGCTTTACCAAGGCCAAGTATTTAAGATGTTTATTTATTTACAGTAGGATATACATCTAAGTTGCTCGGACTCTTCACTTTCGGTGTCGCACCCGTGTCGACACCATGTGGGTGTGGGATCCATACCCGATCTGCTAATTTTGGGTGCTTTGACCAAATTCGAGGGAGAAATTCTGGGCAAATTCAATGATTTCTATAATCAAAACAAAAACTAAGGTGAAATTAAAGAAAATGAAATACCTTGCATAGATAAATTTCTATTGTTACTCCTTTCCTTTTATCCCCTTTCAGGATTCTCTCTTGATCAATATTTCTCCTCAAGTTTTCCACATAATATCTCATAATTTAGGTTTTATAACTTTATTTTTAGATATTTGAATTATTTTTAGTCGAATCCCTGCACCCGTATCCACACATGGATCCGTATTCCCGAATCTTAAAATTTAGATCATA